GCGCTGCCCCCCAGCCGCAAGGGGGGCAGAGAGGAGGTCCCCACCCTGTGTGTCTCTGTCCTCCTCCCTCAGGACCACCCCAGGAGCAGGATACCCCACTCCTGAACCCCACAGCACAAGGCACTCACCCCTTCTCAGCCCCCGGCCACCAGCCCCTCTGCTGCAGGGCATCCACATACCCCCAGAGAGGCTGTGGGGCAGCCCCATCTCCCAGCACTACCCCTCTTTCCTCGTCCGTGGCCCTAGTAGCAGCAAACGGGACCGGACCAGGCACAGGGCAGCTGGGCACTGCCGGGCCCTGCTGCTGGAGCAGCCCCTGCGAGACCCAGCTCAAGGCCCTGGGCGCAAGGCCGGGCTGTTGTGTGCACCCTGGGGGCATCGGGGACAGCGCTGAGCCTTAGCAAGAACTTAAGTTAGGGGTTGTAGGGGAGAAGGGAGGCCGAGCAGGAGGAAAAGGAGATTTCTCCCTGGGTGCTTGGTTTCTGCCCCCTTGGCAGAAGGGATCACAGGGCAAACACTCCTGCAGTCAATGCGTAGGGCACATGCAAGACCCCCACCCTGGCACGAATGGTCCCCCTGCTCCGGAGATGCCTCCAGCTGGGCCCGAAGTGCTGCAAGAAGGAAAAGCGCCCTTGTCGCAATCAGTCCTTCTCCCCAGGGCAGCGCCGAGTGGCCGGTCCTTGCGCAGACCCTGAGATCATCCCATTGCAGCAGCAAGAGATCTTCCCCCATCGCAGTCCCGTGGGCATCTCGCCGCTCAGATCTTCGAGGACTCGACCCGCTCAATCCAGGGCGAATCAGCTCCCGTGTCCCTGGGCTCCGACCGCAGCTGCCGCAGCTCCCGCTCCAGCGCCTGGCTGCGGTGGTACATCTCCATGTAGCTGGCCTGGAGCTCCCGCTGGTACCGCAGCACCTTCTCCTTCTCCTCCTGCCAGGTTTTCCTCTCCAGCTCAAAGTTCACAGCTTGCAGCTGGCCCTGGCGCCGCTCGCGCAGCAGCTCTGCCCACAGCCCCTCCCCCTGCCTCTCCAGGGGCTCCGCGCTGTCGCTGTGCAGGCCCCGGCACTTGGAGTCATCGGTTTCGCAGCCAGGGAAGTCCTGGCAAGCGGGCATGGGGTCATCGCCCAGCGCCAGCGAGGCGCCGGGCTCCGGGGCGCTCTGCAAAGAGTCTGCCAGTTGTGCCAGCTGGGAGTCCCTGGCCTGTACCTCAGCCTTGGCCTCCCGCAGCTGCGTTTTCAGGCTGAAGATCTCGCCCAGCTTCTGGGCCATCTCCTCCTGGGTGTCCCGGAGCTGCTGCTTGAGCAGGGAGATCTCAGCTGCCTTCTGGCACACCTACAGGGCACACGGAGGAGTGAGGAAGGGCCTGAGGAGCGGGAACGTCCCCACCTGATGGACACCCCCGGGAAGGGCACTCACCTCCCATTTGGTCTCCTCCAGCTTGGGGCTAACGCGCTCGCCCTGGGCCTGCCGGAGCTTGGGCTCCTCGCACTGGCACTGCTGCATGCTCAGCTCCTCCTGCAGCCGCTTCTTCTCCTGCTGGGCCTTGTAGAGCTGCAGCTGCAGTGCCCCCTGGCCGCGCTGAGCCTGCTGCGTGACCTGCTGCAGCCTGGCCATGTACATCTGCTTCAGATCCTCCAGCTCGTCCAGCCACAGCCGCTGCTTGTCCTCAAAGACCTGCCAGTACAAGCGGACAATGACGGGGACCCGTATCCCTGCCCTGTGTGGGACAGATTCCCAGGAGGATCTCAGAAGGTCTCAGGACCAGCTGCTCCTCTAGGGGAAGCCCCTCTGGGCCAGGCTCTTCCCAACTCCAGCCCAGGGGCAGCAGCAGCAGCTGCTTCCCATCCTGCTCTTGCTGGAAGATGCTCCCACACCAGCACCCATCACCCTGGCTTCAGCACTTGGATGCTCCCAGCCCGTCTCCCACTACGGCAGCACATCACAGCCTTGCAGCCCCATCCTCACACCCCTACCCAGGTGAGGCACCCCAGGAGCACCCAGAGCAGTCCCAGCCCCCCGGCTCACCTGTGTGAAGGGGTCTTCAGTCTCGCTGAGGCTCCTCTTGAGCTGCCGCAGCTCTCCCCCCGTCTCCTGCAGCTGCTCCTCCAGCTGCTTCACCGCGTCCTCCAGGGAGTAGGTGAACTCGTAGGGCGGCGGGGGCTCCCCGGGGCTCTGCAGCCGGCTCAGCGTGGCCATGCTCTTGCAGGACAGAGGTGCCTTCTCGGGGGCCAGGGGCTCCCTGGGGCTCCGGGACACCCTGTCCAGGGAGCCCCCAATGTGGTTGATGTGACCCATGGAGGCACTGAACTGGCTCTGCGCCGGCTTGAGGCGGGAGCCGTAGGAGGGGAAGCTCTGGATGGAGTTGTGGCTGGAGTCAGAGGCCTCGTCCAGGCTGATGGCGTGGAGCAGGTGGCTGCGGAGCGGGCCGTGCGGCGGGACGGCCGTGCTGCTCTGCGACAGCAGCGTGTGCAGGCTCCCATTGCTCTTTGACAGCTTCTGCCCCTTGGACGAGGACAGGCCCTGCATGGAGACCAGGCCCTTCCCAGCCACTGCCTTGAAAGCTGAGGGTCTGATGCGGCACTGAATGAAAAACAAGAGTGGGGTCAGGCTGGGCCCACCATGGGCACACGCCGGTGCCCAGAGCCCTGGCCCCATCTGGAGAGGCCCTGGGCTCACAGTGGCTTCACCGGGACAGGAGATGCCTACAGATGCCCTCTAAATCCTGCACCCAGCCCCATTCCCACACGGACTGCCCAGGGGGGCAGTGCTGCAGGGCTCACCTTGTCGAAGCGGCCCCTCTCGGGCAGGGAGCTCTTGGAGAAGTCGGCTCCGCGGTGGTGGTCGCGGGAGCCGCGCTCGGGCGAGCGGTTCTCGCGGTCGCTCTCGTAGTCCCGCTTGTAGCACGCGGCGGCCGCCTGGTGCTTCCGCTCGGAGCGCGCCTCCTTCTTGGCCCCGTGCAGGTAGCCGAAGAGCTCCCGCTGGCCCGGGCCCTTGCGGAGCAGCCCGTCAGGCTGCCGCAGCCCCCGGGAGCCCCGGAGCGGGGCCCGCAGCTCCAGGGGAGACAGGTCCTGCTTCTCCACCAGGCTGCCCACGCTGCCCATGCTGCCGCCGACAGGCTCAGAGCAGAGGTAGGTGCCAAGGATGCGGGTGGCAGCCTCACAGGTCACAGGGCCCTGTGCTGTTGCCATGGAGGATCAGAGGGAAGCCCGGGACCAGCACTGCCGAGGGAGAGACAAAGTCAGCGAAGCTGGCCCGGCCCCGGGGACGACCCCCCATTGCTCCAAATGCCTTGGCACCTCCCAAGAGAGCAGC